TCAGCAGGGCACTGGTGAGGAGTTGCAAGAATGTGTCACTGGGACGTGGCTCCTTGCAGCAGATGGCTTCTGACAGGAGCTTTGTTGGCTGAACTTTTCTCTCATTTTTGAAGGGAAAGTCTGTTGCATGGAGCTCTGTGATCTGGGTCCAAAGCTACTAAGTGACAGCAGGGATTCAGCTGCAGCTCCTACCGTTCGATGCTGTCTGCCTGGAATCTGTTTAATTTCCAACAGCATGAAAGAGGGATTAAAAATGCATCGCTTGTTGTGGAACACAGGAATTTGCAAACCTCATGTTATCTTATCACATTATTCCAAACAACTGAGCTGATACATCAGCATAAGTTCTATTTTTTTATTTCTCCAAAACGAGTAACCAGGCTTAGTTTCTGTGCGCTCTGTTTTAATGCTTTTCCACACAGATGATCCTATTTCTCCATATACAAGCTGGTTATTGAATATTGTTGAAACCAAACAACCACATCCTCTGCCCATGCCTTACAATGGAGGATGTTGGGCACCACTTGTGGACTACCTCCCAGAAACCATCACACCCCGAGGACCCCTTCATAGGTGAGCAGTTTCTCATTCTGATGTTTCAAACAGTGAGACACTTCCTCTTACTGGTTGACCAGCACCAATCCAACTGTCCTACCATCCAGAACATCTGAAAATCGTACCTTCAATATCTGCTGATTTCCAGTGCTAAAATCAACATGCAAGGAAGGCTTGTGGTTTACCAGATTTCTACAGAAAGCCTATTTACAATGTAGGGCATCACTTTCTGATAAGAATCAGACTGAAGAAATAACTAAAACAGAAAATGAAAAATTCTCTTCCCCAAGCCTCTGTGGCTGGTATTCATACCACTTTTCCCCCTTGATCTTTTATTTTAACTAGGCTATGCATATTCTGAAATTCCTCTTTTACGTTGTTGGTATTGGCAGTAATAATGTTCTTTTCAGTATTGAGTACTTACCTGCTTAATACTGTAACTAAGGTGCTTCAGCATTAATCCTATTGAGAAGAAATACTACAAATTTGAAAATTTAGAGATTGTTTATTTCTTCAGAAATAGCCATCATGTTACTGTTTTCCCATCTTCAAGAGGTTTCAAACTGCTACTGTGATTTAATTTCCAGGTGCAATATTGCTGTCATCTTCATGACTGAGATGGTAGTGGATCACAGTGTGAGGGAAGATTGGGCTCTTCACCTCCCTTTATTGCTACATGCTCTCTTTTTAGGTAAGACCAACAAAACAAGAAATAACATATATAAAAATATATAAAGAATACATTTATAAAAATTTATATGTATTAATAAATAT